CTACCAAACCAAAGAAAACTCTTATTAGGCACATGCCTAATACTTCTTCAATGAGATGGACATTATCAGATTTCACCCAGTTTTCTTGTATTTTAATACCCTAGTGCTTTCCATCAATTCATCAAAATGCTGTTCTGTCACTGTGCCAAAATCTTGCTCTCCTCATATTAAGAGAGTGCTTTGGAAGTGATTGATATGTAACAATGGTGATACTCCCAAATGGATTTTTATTTTCTATATGACTATACTTGGCAAGCTGAGCACAAGAGAGATATTGGGAAGATGGGGTATAACAACTGAGCGAAGCCGCCCTTTATGCACTGAGGAAGAAGAAAGTATCAACCATTGTACCTATGTTGCCACTGTTTAGGGTAAACTACTGAAATGGATGGGTATCTCACGACAATTGATGTCAAAGGTAGCACTGCCAGTGAGTAGATATATTGAAACCTTAGCTGGATGTGTTTATTTCATTCGGCGAGAAAGGAACATGAGGATTTTCCAGGCAAAACAGAGGCAAGCTGAGCAGATTGTTAAATTGATCATCCAAGAAGTGCATTTCATCAAGACTCATTCCTAAGATAGAAGTTCAATTGCATACGTGTCGCGAAATGCCATTCCTTTTATTCCATTGCAGATGTTTCTCTCAAGATATTTACGGGCTTTTGGTCTTGTTATCTCATTGTATTTGGTAAGTAATATTGAGATGCCCCTGACCTGTTTGTTAAAATGCCTGAAAGTGATTGAAAGTATGTTGGATGTAAATTTCAAGTCCCATAAGTCAGTAAACTAAATTTAGTATCTTTTAGTTAGTTTATGTAGTAGGCTAATTAGGACAAAAAAGCTAAGGATATAGCCCTTGATTACATCGTTAGCAGATCTATCAAGGGCAGTACGTCCATCTATATCCTTGATTGTGTAATTTAGCTCCTTTATATCATTGTTATACATGAATGCCGAATGCTTTGTGCACCAGGCTGCCTTACTGACTATTTCTTATGATAGAAGTTGCCTTTGCTATGTCTAAATTCTAATGTCAATATGAATTTATAGGTCTATATATCCTTTTTTTTTTTAAGAAAAAGATATTTATTCCATTAAACAAAAACGTTAAGCATTACAATAGTAGTTATGATCCTGGGGATCATTGATAGATGGTAATCCATGCATGGCATGACGATTCCCTAAAGTAGCAAGGATTCTACAACAGTTAAAAGAAAGTGATTTAACAATACCCTCACCACCCTTGTCTTGCTGGTTATAATATTTGTTTAAGCTGTAAAACTTAGTTTTGGTAGACCAATTCTAATATAATCATATACTATAATTTTAATAGAAAAGGACTTGCCCTTTAGAAAGGTCAAAAGCCATATGAAACAGAAAAAATAAAAAAGAAACAGAAAAAAAGAATGATTTGGTAAATGATGCTGCTCTTTGTCCTTAATTAAAGTCAACTGTAACGTGACAATTAATGCAAATTGCTGATACAAAATTTGAATGGAAATTTATTGAGTGGTTATATGACAGCTGGCAACTAATATAAAATTCCAAACAAAGAGGAAAGAAAAGAACCTCATGAGTAGTATAAAATGTTATTTTGAGTGCAAAGGCTTAGTATCAAACCATATGAATTGCTCTCTCCTTCTTCCCTTTTGCAGTTCAACTTCATCACAATTTCTTTTGATCACTCACCACTTGTGAGAAAAGATGTCTTCTAACCAATATCTGTCTTCAAAGAATCGTCTTTTTGAGCATCTGCAACAACTTGACAATATTTTGTACTTCCCTAAAACTTTTATAGATATGGTCAAGTTCTTTAAAAACGAATTCAAATTCCTGGATATCTTTTTCCGCCTGCAGAGCTTCACACATGAACCCAACTTGCTAGATGTCACTCAGAAAATCCAATCTCTTTTTCGAGATGCTGCAGTTGAGTTTTCTGAATTGCACCTAGACAACTACTGTGATTTCAATAACTCGGTTCAAAATGAGATTTGGTCGATTAAGATGGAAATTAAAGCCAAATACTCCTTTCCTAAAATATCATTACCACTTTCAGCCAACAAGGATGGCATTGCTATTCCCAAATTTGTAACAGAATTTATCCATTCCGTGGTAGAGAATCTTCCTAATCTAGTGAAGATTGATGATTCGTGTTCACTTCTTTATGTTCCCGAAACAATGGAACATGTGGATGTTATTTTAAAGGAAGTGAACTTGCTGCATAATTTCTTCTGCTTTGTTTCAGAGAGGTTTGTAGAGCCTCAGAGCCAACATCTTGCTGATTTCTTCACTCATGTTTTAGCTGTGGCTGGCTACGCATCAACGTTTTTCTGGTTGTATTTACCAGACTTGGCTCCAGAAGAAATAAATGTTTTGCTTTCTGATTTCTTGCGAATGAGGATTAAGCCCATTCAACCATGCATCCGCGAGATCTATGTTAATGTCTTGCAATCTTTGAAGGCGACAATACAGTCAGGATGGTATCCCAACATCCAACGTGAGCCAGCAGCTGACACCGAAGCCAGTTTTGTGAAGATAATTCTACACAATTTGGCGGAACTGCCAGCTAATAGCAACTCCAGTCAGAGAGTTGCTTTGAATGATCACTTGGCAAACCTTCAGGAGATGCTCAACCTCTTGAGAGCCAATATCATCCATGCGCCGATACAAGATCTTGAACTTCTGTCAGTTCTTCGATATATTGACACTGTCATTATTGATGTAGGGCTTCTCGTTTACTCGTTATATAAAGGCGAGGATGAGGAGAAGGAAGACATAGCACTTGCAGAAGTGAACCCTGCACAAGTTCTTGATCAGTTGCCGGGTAACATTCAACACATAATTAGCGCAGTGATTTATCCCACCATTCGGAAGGCGTTCCAATCTAAATTGCCAGGGATTAATGGACTAGGCTATGTTGATTTCCTTTTAAACAACTTGAAGGAGTTCCAAAGCCGCCATTCAGATTCACTAGCGTCTGTCACGAAACAACTTCAAATCATTCAGAAGGATTTTGAGAGCTCCCAACCTTTTCTGAAGGCTGTTTCACAAGCGCAACACAATGACCTCGACAAAATTCAAAGTTGTGCTACACAATTGATTAACAAAGCATATGAGGTAGAATATATTGTTGATGCTTGTATATGCAAAGTTCATGTCTGGTGCCTAGAGCATTGGCTCTTGGATATCATGGAGGAGATTACTCTTATCACAACAGACGTAGCAGATATTCAAGGGAAAAACATAGTTGAGGATGCAATGGATACCGGCACAATTCATACATCATTAAATTGGGCAAGGTCTCCAATGATGAATGATGAACTTGTGGGTTTTAAGGACGTCATAGAAGATCTAAGATACCTACTAATAAGAGGAACCAGAGGGCGAGATGTTATATCAATTGTCGGCATGCCGGGTCTAGGAAAGACGACTCTAGCCTACAGACTCTACTCTGACAGGTCAATTGTTTCTTACTTTGACATTCGTGCAATGTGTTGTGTGTCTCAAATATATTCACGTAAGCACTTGTTACTGGCAATTCTACGTGATGTTATTGGTGAGGATTCTAAACGTAGAGAAAATCATGCTGATGAGTTAGCTAATGAGCTTCGCAAAGCTTTATTCTCCAAAAGATATCTCATCCTTGTTGATGACGTGTGGGAAGCTAGTGCGTGGGATGATCTAATTGGTTGTTTTCATGATGGCAATAATGGAAGTAGAATCATTCTAACAACCCGAAATCATGAAGTAGCTAATTACGCTAGATCTGAAAGTGATCCCCTTCAACTTCGTATGTTTAACGATGATGAAAGTTGGGAGTTACTCCGGAAAAAGGTGTTTGGTGACGAAAGCTTCTCCCCTCTCCTAACAAAAGTTGGGCAAAAAATAGCAAAAAAGTGTGGTCGGTTGCCTCTTTCAATTGCTTTGGTGGCTGGTATTCTAGCAGAGACGGAGAAGAAAGAAGAATGTTGGGAACAAGTGGCCAATAATTTAGGTCCCCGCATTCACAAAGACTCGAGGGCCATTATAGAACAAAGTTATCAGATGTTACCCTATCATTTGAGGTCTTGCTTTCTTTACTTTGGAGCATTTCTAGAGGACAGTGTGATTAATGTTTCAAAGTTAACACGGTTGTGGATCTCCGAAGGATTTGTAAAAAGTTGTGAAGGCAAGAGCTTGGAGGATATAGCAAAAGGTTATTTGGAAAATCTTTTTGGAAGAAATCTAGTGATGGGAACTAAGAGGAGCTCTGGAGGTGAGATCAAAGCATGTCTCATTCATGACCTATTGCATGATTTCTGCAAGGAGAGAGCAGCGGAAGAGAATCTCCTCGTATCGATAAAAAGACGGTAATATACCAATTAGTGGCACTCTTTTGGTTCAATTAACTAAGTGGTTCATGTTATGTTGAAAAATAATCTTATAATCTTACTAATTTCTATATTTGCAGGGATCAAAATACTAATCCTTCTTCCTGCGTTTACTGTCATAAGCAACTTGCTCATCGCATGTCCATTTATGGTGAAGACTATCATATTGGGGAATCAAGCTCGTACTTGTCACATGTTGGTTCTTTCATAATGCATAATCGTGTTCATCTTACATGTCGCGAACTCTCCCACATTTTCTACACCTACAAATTTCTGAAAGTGTTGGATTTAGAGTTCACTTGTATTGATTCTTTCCCAACTGATCTAGTTTACTTGAGGTATCTTGCTGCAAAAACTTCGAAGCCGTCAATTTCATCATTCATAGCCAATTGTTGGAATCTTGAAACTCTGATAATACACAATGATGAAGGCAAAATGTCAGTACCCATTACACTCTGGGAGATGATTAAATTGAGGCATCTTCATATTTCGAAATGCAGCTTTATCATAGAAAATGCAGAAGAATTACATGAGAACTCAAAAACACTTTATGATCTGAAAACTCTTTCCACTCCATGTTTTTCTTGTGTCGAGGATGCAGAATTGATGTTGGGAAAAACACCTAATCTTCGGGAACTGAAATGCAGAGTCAAGGGTATTGACAACTTTCAGTACTATGTACTGAATTTTCCAACAGGGATTGAAACGTTGAAGATTCAAAATGCAAATCCAAAGAAAAAAATTCCCTTTTGCATCTCTGCACCAAATCTCAAAAACTTGAAACTAAAATATTTTCACCTGCATCCTCAGCACTTATTAGGAATTGCTTCACTTCAGAATCTTCAAGTACTCAAACTGGAGTGCGTGTACTTTAAAGATAGGGAATGGAAAGTGAGCAATGGCGAGTTCCCTCAACTCAAAGTCTTGAAATTACACAATATAATCTCCTTACGAGAATGGACTGTTCATGATGATGCCTTTCCTAACCTTGAACACTTGGTTTTGCGTCATTGTTACTCTCTTGAGGAGATTCCTTCTTGTTTCAGAGACATCTCTTCTCTAAAATCCATTGTGGTAAGGATATGCAATGATTCTGTTGACAAGTCAGCAAGGGATATTTGGGAAACACAAGTTGAAGATTATCAGAATTCAGAGTTCCGGATCTCTATCACTAGCAAAGCTTGAAATGTTATTAAAGGGCGTCAAAATATATAAAAGTGAACGTACGAAAAAAATCAAGAGGAGTCAACATATAGTGTATATACATATAATTTTTTTACTACATAGTGTATTTTTCCCGCCAAGGTATGTTTGCTATAAAGTGGCTCCGCCACTCATGGGCGGATCTAGCGCGTAGTATACGGGTTCCCAGGAACCCAATAACTTTTGCGTAGACCCTGTATTTTTATTAAAAAATTTATTAAATATCTATTTGTGAACCCAGTTATTATTGTATATTAATTTGAAATTGCGACAGGAATCCATAAACTTAAAATCCTGCATCCGCCTCTGCCGCCACTAGGGATGTTCAAAACCGATCCGAAACCGAAAACCGAATCGAAACCGAAGCTTAATGGCTTATTGGTATCGGGTTAACGGTTTAACGAACGGGGAACGGATTGAATTTTTTTTATTAACGTNTATATATATATATATATATATATATATATATTATATTTTTATCCATATATATATTAAATATCAAAAACCCTTCCACTTCCAGAGATTGCACTGTTGAAGATCCATTCGGAGATTGCACTATTGAAGAACTTGAAGAATGACAACATCATAGTACTATATCATGTCCGGAAAGACAATGAACATAACATCCTCAATTTCATAACTGAGGAATGTGCCTCTAGTAATTTGAGGGATTATACGAAGAAGCATCGTCATGTTTCGATTAAGGCGTTGAAGAAGTGGTCTAGGCAAATACTACAGGGCTTGGATTATCTACACACTCATGACCCTTGTGTTATTCATAGAGATCTCAATTGCAGTAACATCTTTAGCAATGGCAATGTTGGAAAGGTAATGAATCAACTCATTCAGTTTATCTTCGGTTAATGTAGCCTATAATGTACAATGTGTTCTACTTTTTTCACTCTCCAACACATGACACACTACATCATTCTTATGTAGGCGTTAACAGACATGTATGTCTGGACTCATGTGTAATTTCGATTTCTGAATTTATATGCTAGGCTGCTAGCAAAAAATTAATGCACGCAATATAGATTGAATTAGGCCGATAAACCGCCCCGTAACCGCCCAATAAGAGCTAAACCAATACCAATCCGCCCGATATCTTATCGGGTGGCTAGCAGATTAATATATTTAAAAGCCGATAAGCGATAAGCCAAACCGTTAAGAGTAAATAACCGCCCCCGATAAGCAGCCCTAGCCGCCACTGATCTCTATCTTCTAGAGGGATGTTTATGGTCCTATGAAGTGAAAACCATATTGGTTTAACTGGTGTTATTTGGGTGTTGCTACTGGTTTCATTTTGTTGCGCCATCAATTTGGCGCTGTTAAATTGGTTTACTGACGTGAGAAATTGATATCATACCTTGGTTCGGAAACATGTGGTAGTGTTATCGTCTGAAGTCGTGCTGACCTCGCAATGTTTTTGTTGCTACTTTCCTCTTCCTTTCGTAATTATCTCAGATCTATTACTTATGATGAGATACTGGTGGGAGGTTTTACTGATTATGAACAAATACTACATCATAGGCCGATGAGAATCATTTTGGATTAGTTACATGTTTTTTTGGGTTTTGACACAATTACCCACAAAAATAAAATTATTTATACTTGTCTACCTATTTGGTTTTCTACCTATAAACTAATTACATTTCCTACCCATAGTAGTTTTTGTGTGAAATTTTTTCTTTATTCTTCAATTCTTTTTTATTTTACGCTTCTTTTCTTTTTTTTTCTTTTTTTTCTTTTCTCCTTTTCTTTTTTCTCAGTTTCTTCTTATTGTTTTCTTTTTTCCTTTTCTAATTTCATTTAACTTCTATTTTTTTTAATATTCTTTTTTTCTTCATAATCTAATTTCATTTACTGTTTTTACTACTTTTTATTATTCTTTTTTTTTATACTATTACTAAGGAAAAATCAAATTGTGTACCAATTAAATGTAGTTAATACAACCAAAAAATATTAACTAACATATGATACCGGTATAGTATATAACTATACCAACAGGGTATACAATTGTACGCAAAGAGTTAAAAAAAATTAATTCAATTATTAAACTGAAATAATATCAGTTGTCAATAAAAATTTCAAAAAACTCCAAAAGGATCTAATTGTAAGAATATATCGTTATATTATATATCATACTATAATATTTTATTTTATTTTTGCATTTTCAATTTGGACCTCACGCTAGATAAAAGCTTAAAGCAAATTAAAAGGGAAAAAGCAAGTGAATTTACGTGTAATAAGTATACTATTATAGTATATTGTATATTATTACAGTATACTGTTACAGTAAATTGCTTATTATTATAGTATATTATAACAATATATTGTATACTGTAATAGTATACTGTTGTGCGGTATAATTATATACTCCTATAGTATATTGTATACTATAACGGTATATTATTAGGTAACTGTATTCTTCTTCAATTATTACAATATACCGTTGCAGTATATTGTAAACTATAATAGTATACCGTTGCAGTATAGCTATATACTCCTACAACATATTGTATACCGTAGCGGTATACTGTAGCTGTGTCCTTCGATTTTCAACTGAAAATTTTGATCTCAATCATCTCAAATCAGCTCCAATTGCTATCAAATTTTAATATGAACTTCCAGAAGGTACTATAAGCAAATTTAACAACACCCACTTTGAATCAAACAAGAAATCTTCAAAACAAAAATTTTAAATTCAAGGGCCAAGGCAAGAGCAAGAGCTAGGGAAAAGAAAATCAAGAAAAAGTGGAGCAGAATTGAAACTAGCCATTTTCGTTAGTGGAGCAGAATTGATCCACATAATCTTCGTTAGTTTGAGCGTTAGTAATAAGAAGTTCAAAATCTTTACCCCTACCAAAACGCTTGAATTCAAATATTTTTAATTTCAAATTGCCAACAGAAATAAATTGATCAAGAGTTGGAACTGAATCATAATCTTTAGCACTTTTATACTTGAAATATACAGCCATGATTTAATTCTTTTTCCTAGTAAAAATAAATCAAGAACAATAATAATAAAGAGGCCATGTTGTCAAGAATACGATACCCTGTTGTCAAGAATACCGGGTAAATAGTTTAGGCTTCATGGGTAGGAGTAGTAAATAGTTTGGGCCTGAGTATTAAAGGGTAAATAGTTTGAAATTAATGAGTATAAAGTGAGATTTTCTCTTTTCTTCACTGACACGAAATGGCCCTTCGGCCCAAACTTCTTGCATCTAATAGCCCGAAATATCTATTTTGTATAATTTTTTGTATAGTGACAGTCTGTTTTGTATATTTTTTGTATATTCACAGTCTATTTTGTATAATGACAGTCTACTTTGTATATTTTTTTGTAGAGTAACAGTCTATTTAGTATATATTGTATAGTGATAGTCTATTTTGTATATATTTTGTCTAGTGACAGTTTATTATATGTAAATTATATAGTGGCCGTCTATTTAGTATATTTTTATATAGTGACAGTCTATTTTGTATAGTGACATTCTATTTAGTATATTTTTTATATAATGACAATTTATTTTTGTATATATTTTGTATAGTGACAGTCTATTGTATATAAATTGTATGGTGACAGTTTTCAGCCATTTTCACCATCATTTATTCTCCTTTGAGTATAATTTGTTTAATCGTTTGTCTAAAACTTACTTTTTTTTAAAAACTTCATAGCGAGTAGTACGAGTTATATGTGTCATTTACGTGTTAGCTTACATATGTAATTGTAAAAGCAACGAGAATTTCGTTTGCCAAGGTAAGGGTAACTATGATATGAATGAGTAACGGCAAATGTATTTCTGTTGGAGGGAAAAGTTAAGGCGATTTTTAACATGTTTTCCATTCAATTATAGGTTATAAAACGAAGTAGTGTTGCAACAATGTTTTATTTTGAAAAAAATCAATTTTAGGAATGATTTTTTTAGGAGGATAAAGCGGAAGAAAATGCTATATTACAAGTGGAATTTGAACCTTTTATCTAAACAAGTGTGTGGATAGTGAACTCACGTTAGAAAGGATATGTAATTGTTGTGGTTAAGCAAATTTGTCAAATTAGTGGAACGACGTAATTCCGAGAAACGGCGGAGGAGCAGGAAGAGAGAGCAGTACTGGAAAGGGAGCTGGAGCTTCAATTGGAAGAGCAGAAAACAGTACTTTTGGGCTAGCCACTAGAATTACTTTTGGGCTATAAAATGAGTATTGTAATTTTAGGCAGCATTATAGGTTTGGCCCGAGTGATTATAAATGATATTTGCCCTTAAAAGTTTGAGGGGCTATACTGAATAGTTTTCTCATAATTTTTTGAGGCCACGACCCTTGGACTAGGCCCGAAATAACGAGGCTATGATGATAATCATCGGAAAATAAAAGACGAGGACGTGACGAACCAATAACCCTTCGGAAGGCGATACGATTAACTACCGTAGTCGCAAGGTGGTTCCCACTCTCATGTCTGGACCGATATCAAAAAATGCATATCTGAGCCTCCTATACTACTTTTTAAACTATTTTCCAAAAACAATTTCCTAAAAACATTTTTCCAAACAATCTTTCAAAAACAAAAATATTTTCCAATCATTTTCAAGAGAAGTTTTCCAAAAACATTTTAAAACAAAAACCATTTAAAAAACATGTCACTTTATTAGTTTATCTTTTACATTATACTAATCTCTCTTTCTCTAGATTATCATTTTTTATTTGGTTATATTAGCTGCCTTTGATAGTTCTAGATACTCTTCGATTAAATTATGGAATTATAATATTAGAATATTAAAAACATTAAAATTAAGATGCTTTTTGGTCATCCGTCAAAACATGCTTAACCTCTTGAGAGTCAATTACGCCGATAAAAGATCTTGAATTTCTTCGAGATATTGACACTATGGTTATTGATGTTGGACTTCAGTTATACTCATTATACGAAGACATGGCACTAGTAGATTTGGACAGTGCACTAGTTTTTAAATCTCCGGGCAACATTATTCAACGTATGAGGTAGAGTACATACTAGATGCTTGTATAAGGGAAAAAGCTCCTATCTGGTGGCATGAACATTGGCTCTTGGATATCATGGAGGAGATTACTCTTGTCAGATATG